GAGAGAGAGAGANGCGCGCGCTGTGCACGTCCATGTGGACGACGCTGGGCCTGTTCCAACCATACCGGTTGGAATTGGATCCAGAACCCACCACTGGTGGTAGCGAATTTTCTCTAGAAAGACTAACCGTTCAGGATTCATAATTCATGAATTATGAGGATTCATAATATGAAACACTGCAATGTTTTGCAGTTACTACTAACCCAGAACTCCTGAATGGCACCAGCTAGAAAGGGGAAAAAATGCCATTTCTTTCCATGATTATTTCAGAGGTCTAATTTGAAATGGGGGTGGGAATTTGAATGTGAAGAATGCTGTATCTGATCGGCTCAAGGTTGACTCAGTCTTTCATGCTTCCGTGGTCGGTAAAATGAAGACCCGGATTGTGGGGGACAATATGCTGACATTTGTAAATCGTTTAGAGAGGGTTGTAAAGCACTATGAAGTGGTATATAAGTGGTATCTCTTTTTAGAAGGAGTGACTACACTAAAGCAATAGCAAGCTGAGGCTATCTCTGTGGTCACTTTTGTTTTTGTTGATTTGTAAATTTACTTGAGGTTTGTTTCACATGGGTGACAAACAACATCAAATAGATGCAGTTTTATTGCTTTCCTTCAGCACATATTTGGAGTACAGATTTGGTACTTTCAGAAAGGAAGGAAAATTTGATCCAGCGGCTAAATCTGTTCATCTGGTAGATCAATGTAATTGAATAAAACCCATTTTAAAATATATGCTATTGAATTATCTATCCTTCTAAAATACTTTGAGCGTTTTTCTTCCAATAAAGGGGAAGCTGAATATACGTTACAATTAATGGGTCCATAATCCTTTTATGTTTTGGGAGAGGGGAATTTGTTGGCATTGAAACAACGCTGTGTCCTTTATATCCACTATAAAGTCTTACTGAGGTATCAGGATTTCGATTAAGAGTGAGTTAACTTTTCTATCAATACTTACTGAAGTTTTACTGAAATATACAATACTTCCTATTCTTCCCGACCAGATATGTTGTAATACCATGATGGCAAACCTATGGCACGCATGCCACAGGTGGCACGTGGAGCCATTTCTGAGGGCACGCGAGGCGTTGTCCTGTCAGTGCCAGAGTGCATGGTTGCGCAGGCCAGCTGATTTTTGGGCTTTATTTTTGCCCATTTTTCGCCCTCTGTAGGCTTCCCTGAAACCTCTGGAGGGAGAAAAACCGCCCAACACACAAACTGGAAGTTTGGGAATGGACTTCCGGTTTGGGCGTTGGGCTATTTTTCGCCCTCCAGAGACTTCAGGGAAGTCTCCTGAAGCCTCTGGAGGGAGAAAAATGGCCCAACGGGCAACCCGGAAGTCCATCCCCAAACTTCCGGTTTGTGTGTTGGGCCATTTTTCGCCCTCCCCAGGCTCATAGAAAGCCTCCAGAGCCTGGGGAGGGCAAAAAACAGACCTACCTGATCCACCGAAATCTGAAAATGGCCCATTTCTGGCCTCGGGGGGGGGGCATTTTCACTCTCCCCAGGGTCCTAGAAAGCCTCTGGAGCCTGGGGAGGGTGAAAAATGGACCTACCGGACCCACTGGAAGGCAGAAAAGGGGCTGTTTCCGGCCTCCAGAGGGCTTCTGGGAGGGCAGGGGAGGGCGGTTTCACCCTCCCCAGGCTCCAAGAAAGCCATGTGCAGGGCAGCATGTGTTTGTGGCTTGGGGACATTATATTATGGGGGTGGGCATGCAAGTGCACATGGCAGTACTGTGTGTGTGCGCTTTTGGCACCCCAGGCGAAAAATGTTCACCATCACTGTTGTAGTAGATCAGCACTTGGAATGACACAAGTAATTTACTCCTGCAATTATCCANTCCCATCTAGGATAGTTAGTATCATAGGACCATTGTTTGAAATATCTGAAGTGTAATCAAAAGCAGCTGTAGGGGATATCACATCTGAAGGATGAGCACCACTCAATAATAATAATTGCTCAAATAATGCTGAATTATTAATTAAAATACTATGCCTAATACAAGATTTAAATTATCTTCAGCTATATTAATATAAAGACAACCTAGCTCTAAAGCTTTCCATCCATCACAAAATATCTGCATCACACAGCAGGTTGGATTTTAATAGCTCAGTCTTAAGATCCCCAAAAAACAAGAAACAGTTTTCTGCTTGTTTCTTCTTCACAGCAAGCTTCGAAAGAGTCCTTGGTGCAATTTAACAGCACATCTGTACAGTTCTTTTAAAAAAATCTCAATTTTCACGCTGTTTGACATTCCATATTTCATCTAAAATAGTGGCTTGATGCAGAAAAGTTTTCGACATAGGGATCTATACTTCCCTCCTTCCTCTTTTTAAAACGGTCTTGCCTAATGAAGAATTCCTTAGCACTTTTCAATTAATTATTTTTTGAAAACCTTTGGCTGGTTTAATTATGGATTTGGAGTTTCTTAAAAAGTTTCCAAACTTTGTCTGTTATTTTTGTGCTTCAGAAAAATGAAATATAATCTAAATTGAGGAACTAGACGGCTACGATCTGTGAACACACAATTCCATAGAATGCCAAGCCCTCGTTGGATTATCTTGTTCTTTCCTTAAAAAAAATAAAAAAAAAGTTTGTCTCAGAAAGTGATGAGTTTTGTCACAATACCACCAAAAGCAATCCAGATTTTTCATCATCTTTACAATCAGTGTGTAGCGATAGACAAGTATGCTGATTGATATATAGAAAAATATGTTGGAAGTTCACAAAGGAAGGAAATTAAGGTCATAGATAGCATTCATCTGAGTTTCATTCAATTTAATGAAAAATTCATGTAATAGAGAAGAAACATCAGCAATATTGGTAGTAGTATTGAAGGGTGGGTGGAGATTCCATCCAAACATGTAGCAATACGTAGAGTTTCTGGAGTGAAGTGAGAGTGGTAATCAGTGGTGGGTTGCAGGCAGTACACCCCGGTATGGGCGTACTGGAGCCTGCCCGGAGCACCGGATACTGTACCGGTACGGTGCTCCGGAGGGCCCACCCACCCACCCAAGCTCCTTCCTGTTTTTTTAAGTCTTTGGTGCCTCCACGCACAGCACGTACAGCACCTGCCCGACGCTCTGCTGAGCAGCTGGAGTGTTACGGAGGCTCGCGGAAGCAGTAAGACGCAAGCGCGCGCTGTGCACGTCCATGTGGACGACGNTATGAGAGAAAAGCATCCTTTAAATACCTAGATCCCAAATGGTTTTGACTTTTAAAAGTGATCTCCAGTATATTGAAGTGTTCATGATCTGTATTTTGCTCCATGAAGCTGAGATTAGGACAACATTGTTAAACTCCTATCTACTCTATCTCATGCATGTATCTTAAATTGTTGTGACTGTTGTTTATCTTTTTAACTTGTTTTTGTCTCGTTTGTTGTTTGTATTCCCCCCCCCCTCATTTTGGTTTGTTCGCTGCCCTGAGTCCCTCGGGAATGGGAAATAAACATACAAGTGAAATAAACTTTAACTTTAACTGAATTTGAGTTTACCCTTTCTAAGGACACCTAGTCTTTTCTCCTCAGAATAGTGTTATTATGTATCTTCTCCAACCCCATTTTATCCTGTGACAAATGAAGTAACCATTGGAGCCTAAATCAGTTAACTTGGAATACATGCTTTCTATTTAGTTTCAAGTCATTTTTTGAATGGGTATTTCAGCAATAATCTCTTTAGAGATTATCTTATTTAACATAAAGGTAAACACTTTCTTTGTATGTTTCTTCATTACAGAAACCAAAAGCAGCCCTCAATCTGGAAAAGATTGCATCTTCTTTATCCATATTTGTGCATTTCACCAAGATATATAGCATCCTTAACTTAATTAATTTCATCAAATTATTTTTTTCTGCTATAAACTAATTTTTCTTCCAATAAATGAGAACAGTTTTCTATAACAAGAAGCTGAAAAAAGGAAACCGTGTGTTGTAGTTGCTGGCAGTGAAGTTTGTCATTGATTGGCTAAATTGTTGTGGTTTCAAATATTTCAGCTGCTCAAGAAAGAAAACTGCCAGAACCTTTGCAGCCCAAATGCTGTGGAAATTGTCCCTTGCCCCACTCAGTAAATGAAATGACACATTCTCTAAGGGCAACGGCTACTTTCCAACATGCAAAGATCGGGATTAGTATTAGCAGGTAATCTTGTTCTAGAAATATTGATCTGGCAACATAAAATGCAGTGATTTTTATTGTAATCACGTTCCCCCCCCTTTTTTTTCTGATTTAGGAATCAGAAAGAACAAAGACGACAATTCCGAAATCCGTGTTAACGCAGGGTCTTCATTAGCCCGACACAAGGTCACGCAAGCAGCGGGCGGAATTCTTGATCAAGCAGGGAGAAAAAGAAAGGGGGGAAAAGAGAATAGAAAAAAACCCCCAGCAATCCTACGCTTCACAAGGGAGACGTGCTTTGGAAAAAGCCTAATTCATAAGAATCCACCTTTTCTGATTTCCCAACCCACTTCAGACCAGGATGCTACGGTAGATTGGCGAGGTGTGTGTGTGAAGGGAGGGGGAGAGACCACGGCGGGCGATCCAGCCTTAGATTGAATTGGTTAAGGGAGGAAGGGCGACAATGAAAGGAGAAGGGAGGGGGAGGCCAGCACCCGAACCGCGATAGCAAAGAACACGATAGCTTAAGTCAAATGAGAGGTGCGCGGTACGATTTCACACCCCCCTCCAAAAAAAAAATCGTTTTTAAAATGCGCTTTCTTAACTCGGCCTCTGTTGTCTTGGGAGCCTTCGGGGCTTAATCTCTCTCGCCGCCGTGGCGAAACTAAAAGTCAAGGAAAAGCACTTCGTCCCTTTGGCCCGAACTAGAGCTAGGGCAAGCCCCCGCGGCCGTTGCACACGTGCGCGATCCCATTTTCTCCTGGGGACGACGAGCCCGAGGAAGAGGGAGCCGCGCAAGGCTGGTGCATTGTTCCAACTTCAGGGTGGGGCTTGTCATTGCAGGCTCTGAGCTGACCCTGCCCGAGAGCAGCTGCAAGCCAAGAGAAATAGAGAGCGAGAGGGAATGTGCACGTTGCGCGTGTTAGTGTCAGGGAGGGATGCATGTCGTCGCCTTCTCTGACCCAGGGTGGGCTTCCTTCTCGCAAACGCGCCGCGCTCTCCAAAAGGGCTAGAAACGGGTCCGGCGGCTAAACAACGCGCGGCCTTCGCCGGGACTGACAGCCGCGGCGAAAGCAGCCCCCGCCAGCCGGCCCTCGCTTTTGTCTGCTGGTGAAGGCGGCGGAGGAGGAAGCAGCCCGGCGTCGCTCCTCGCCGCGCGCTCCCTCGCTCGCGGCCGGGCTTTGGTCCCGCCTTTCCCGCTCCAGCAAAACGGCGCCGCGGGCCGGCCCCCTCGCTGGGCTGGCAAGCGCAAAACGGCCGCGCTCGGCCCAGGTGAGTTGTGCTTTGCTCGGCCAGGCGCTTCCCGGGAACTGCAGCAAACGGAGAGGGAGAGAGAGAGAGAGAGGGAGAGAAGCAAGAGCAGAGCAGGCCCGGCCTTGCGGCCTGAGCGGGCTTTGTTTCCCGCCGCTTTGGGTGGCTTCGTCGGGGCTGGCTGGCTGCTCCCTCCTGAGGCTGCGGAGGTAAAAACCGTGCTGGGTGGGAGTCTCCTGGGAAGGAGGGGAACAGGCTGCCGACGCATCTTTACCTGAATCTCTCTGTGCGTGGGAGAGAGGGAGAGTGTGTGGTGTGTGTGTGTGTGTGTGTGAGGTAATTCATAAAATCCCTCCCCCCTCCAGCCATTCTTCCCCTTTCCTACAACTGACGTTTCTGCCACTGCATGGGTTTTTTTTAAAGAAAAAATTGTGGCGGAGGCTCTTTCCTTCAACGTGGCTTGAGCCCCGTCTTTTGGGGGCGGGAGGAGGGCTCTGCCTTAATGCAAGAATTGCATTAAAGGCCAGAGCAACAGGTTATTTCCTTATTTGCCTATTGGATGGGTTTTTTATACAGCTTTATAACGTGGAGTAACGTACACGCACACAGCCGCTGGTAGGGAAGAGTCAGTGCTGCCGCTTTCTTCTGTTCCTTCTCCCTTTGTGTTGTTGACATTTTGCAATCCCAGCCCTGAGCAAAGAGAGTATAAGTGGTTGAAGGCACCAATCTCAATCTCTCTCTGGGCATCTTTCTATTCCAAAGCAATATCATTTCCGTAGTTTTGGCCACTTTCTGTGTTATTTCCACAATAATGTTTCATAGACTTTAAGCATATTTTTTTTAAAAAAAACTGGAACAAAGAGCTTATGACTCTGAGAAGGAAGAAAACTGTTGATATTTTTTTCTTTGAGTGATAAAAAGCCTGCATCTTGGAGATGACTGCACACTTGAACACTTCATCCTGACCTTTTAGAATCACTGTAGTAACATTGTCACCTTGCCATTTCAAATATATGGTAGCTAAGGTATGGCCAAAATTATGGATTCCACAGTCCTGGGTTGGTCCATTGTTTGATACAATTTTGCATCTACCTAGAGAAAGGTGGCCAGCTGATAGAATCTCCATAATCTAAAGATTTTCTGAAAAGCTTTTCCAAACCATTGTTTGGGAAATAGAAAGTAGGAGGAGTTTACTTTAAAAAAAAAAGTCTGGATCCTTTCCATAGCAAATAACTAAACCAGGTAACATTTTTTTCAGTGTCTTTACTGCCAATCATTGATCCCAGTTATTTGCACATAAAGAAATTGTGACAATGTAGATACCCTTTTGTTGTATGTATTACTGTTTGTAGTATTACAACAGCACTGATTTCTTTCTCCCTTTCCTGCCCTTTGATAAAAAATGGAGATAGATAATTCCTAGGGATACTTGCCATGTTCTTTCATCACCATGACGATCTTATTTTTTTGAGCTAAATGTATTTTTCCAGTTTGAATTGGGCATAATCTTTTTTTATTGATCCACTGTCAGGAAGAGGGATTATAATTTAAAACAGATGATTTCAGTGGCATCTTTTTTATTAATTTAAATTTCTTTCCGTTCTCCATACCCATCTTCTTGTATCAAATAATAGCCGTGGATTCATTGGTATTAAGAATGTATATGTTTGAAGCAGTGCAGGAAATCTTGAAAACTTATGAATTTCTCTCCCCTCTGTGGCATTAGGCCTTAGTATCTGATTTGCTATATAACTTAGCAGTAGTTATTAGCACTCTTGGTGAATGATTCCCTTTTCTCAAATTATCTTGAACAATAGTTTGCAGTGTTTTCATATCTTGCACCCAGCTTTTTAAATTTATTATTAAATAATTTGTATTCTATCAGGGGCTTTCAGCAGTTTACAGCAACAAAAATGCCAAATAAAATTATATTATTATAAAATCATTGTAA